ACCACACATTCCATTGACACATAAGTACTATCCACTTATCCACCACTTATTTTTATCTATTTATAAATTCTTCCAAAATGGAGACATATATTTGATTTCTCTTTGTTTTAAATATATCCCCACAGGCAGCTAATGACTGTGATCTTGAACCAGTTGCTTATGAATTTTTCACGCAAGCTTCTGTACAGTACGAGGAAGAAGTTGCGGTACTTATTAAATATAATCAGTTTATTCAGTTACTATATCTTATACAAGTTTTTTCTTAGAACTGGAATGGGGCTATGTTCTAAACTTCAATGTTTATGTTAAAATTCTGTATTCTTAGGATTCTAAAGCCCAGGTGACTGCTATACACCTAATAATCGGGACTCTGCAGAGGATGAATGTCTTTTGCGTCGAAAATAGAGATACCTTGACTCATAAAGCTACAGGGGTATATCAATGTTCTTTGTATCTTTCTTCATAAAGACAGTTTACCCTTCATCCCAGCCTGATTGTTCTTTTCTGTTTAGTATTCAGCAAAACTTTTAAAGAAGCCTGATCAGTGCAGAGCAGTTTATGCCTGTTCACATCTCTTCTGGGTTGATGATCAGGATGGCATCAAAGATGGAGAAAGGTTAGCTATGTGAAAATAATCATTGGCATTATCTCCAGACATACATGTTTAGGAAATTGATTAAAACTCTTTTTAAGTTATATTATTAGCTTCGCAGACATTGTAAAATGAGTTGTTCAATTGAGATGTATTGGATAATGGTTCATTCGGTTAAATATAGCAATATAATATGGAATATTTTTCATTATAATATTGTTTTTTAGTGTAGGATTACTTTCCTTAATAGTTGATTGTTTAATCTTTATTTTTTTTTATTTCCTTTTACAGTTATTTGTAATTCTATAAATAGGGTCTTCTACATTGTAATATTAACAAGACAATATAATACAATTTATATTTCTTGACAATTAATACAACTAGACTCTTCACGCTTAACTGTAAATCCAATTTAAGCAACAAGTCACTTGAAATGAATATCATACCTCAAAACCCCCCATCCTATCATGTTTTGCATATAGTACTAGGATATGAATACTCTCAAATTAATACATAACTAAATAAAATAAGAATAATGATACTTTTAGATAAGCAGCTAAATAATGATTTACATACAGATGATGTGCCCAAAAAATGATTTTTTTTTTTAAATTTGGTTGAAGAAATTATAACTCAAATCATATCTTACCATATTATTTATATACAAGCCATTATGTAAATTTAGTCCCTTTTTGGTGGCCATTGTTTACCAAAAGTAATGTTTTGAATAATGAATTTTTGGAGAATATGTGGTTAAAAAATAGATTCATGTTTTTGAATGTTTTATTGTATGAATGTGTAGTTGAAAATAAGTATGTAGAAAAAAGAATTTTAATTTAAATGTTATCAAATATGACCCTATTATGTACATGTAGCACTACCAATAAAATAAATAGACAGTAACATGAGTACAACAACATTAAATTGTGTCTTTAAAACAAATTATGTCCCTCTAGTGTTGAAGTTCTCGAGCAATTTTCTCTCGTGATATAAATGATTTCATACCTATGGATCAACACTACAACCTCTTCTGATACGGAAAAGTAAACTATCTCGTTTTTGTCAAATAAAGTAATTTGAGAAAAGAATAACTTTATTTGTATTGAAGATGGAAAAAAGATTCGGAACTTGAGGCGAAGAAATGCAAGATTTATAGCCTAGGACATGATCATTCATCCGAAGGTCACGTTTCAATTATTGGGAAGAAAAAGTAATACTATCAGGCGAAAATGTTTGAAAATTGAAAGGAAATGATGTTTAACTCAACACAACTATTTGGCTGACCTTGAACGATATTATGTTACAATTTAATTCATATCCATTTAAGCTAATGATGAAAATTGAAGAGAGAAGAGTCATTGCACTATTTTGAGCTTTTGATCGATTGGATCTCGACATCAAATGTCTCGATTGCGCCCAAACCCACCATCATGCTCGTACTCTCGCTCCCAAAACTTTGCTCCAATTTTTTATTTTTTTAGTCAATTAACATAATTAAAATAAATAATCTAAAAAATTTAGTTAAAATAATTACAAAAATTCTGCAAATATTCCACCATTATAAAATTTCCAAATCGGCGATTTCAGGGTTCAAATCAAGAATAATTTTCCAAATTCCAAACCCCACATACCAAAACCCTGTGCTCCACGACTCTCTTTTTTCCAAATTTTTGATTGTGTTTTCAATTTCAATTTAAGCAAAGTTGAACAGTAGTGAGGTTGAAGTTCGGAGCGATCCCCAATCTCAAAACCCTAGTTCGGCAATTAACTGTCTTGCGGAACCCGAAACAATATAATGTCGCCGCCGATGACTGCCTCATTCCCCTCTTTTCAAAGCCCTAACCCGGATTTGTTGAATAATCGGGACTCGAAATCTTCAGCAAGTGTCAATTTTTCTGATAGTTTAAGTGGTGCTGGTGGATTTGAGTGCGAGAACACGTGTCATGGAAGATCGAATTTTTCGGGTCGGATAAAACCGAGGATGACGAAGATGAGGAAAAAGCAACTGGGTGCTTCTCAAAATGGAAAATCAGTGAAAAGTAGTTCTGACTCGTCTAATATGGCACATTCTGATAGTTCAGGCCAAGTCAATGAAGCTACTAGAAGTAACGGTACTAGAAGTAATTCTAGTGGGTTTAGTGGTCTTGGTGATGGAAACACAAAGTTTGGCAATTACGTAGGCTTTGTGTTTGGGGGTAATAATGATATCAATGTGGGGAAAAGTGCTGGTTTGGAGAATGGGGAATGCAGTGACAGTTGGAGTGTACCTGGAAAATTTTGTAGCACGGGTGTTGTTTTTGGTGCTGATAAGATTAATTCAATACCGAATTTGGATTTGCATAATGGAAATTCTTCTTTCGGTACAAATATAGATAACTCGAAGTCCAATATAAGTCTGAATGATGGGTATTTTGTGTTTGGCTCTAATAAAGATAGCTCATTTTTTAATCCGGTGACTGGAAAAACAGGCCCTGTGTTTGGTGCTAATAAGAATGGATCAACGTTAAATACAAATTTGGAAAGTGAGGTATCTGTGATTGGTGTTAACAAGAATGGTGTTAATACAAATTTTGGAGAGAGACAATCAAGTGTAAATGGAGGACAATCAGGATCTAACGAGTTTAAGAAATCTGATAACTTTGGATTTATGTTTGGTGCAGATAAGTACGAGCCAGAAAAGATGAAGAAAAAAGAGTCACATAATACTGACTTGCAATCGAGTGTCAATGGATTTGGGGAAGTCAATAGTGCAAGTTTTGTGTTCCGTGCTAGTAAGAGCGGTTATGCTTCAAAAAATTTAGATCCAAAAGAGCAAGACTGGCGCGGAAATGTGGGGAAGAATGAATCAAGCAAGGATGTTGGAAAAACAATACCCGATGTTAGTGGTAAAGCTCAATCAGAATCCGGGGAGGATCCTGAAAGGGTGGGTCATTCTAGCTTTGGTTTCCCTTCTACTCCGAGTGTAAGTAGGACAAAAGATCGTGACAGTTTTGTGTTTGGTGCTGATAGTAATAATTCAAAATTAGGTGCAGATTTGAAAAATAACTCAAATGGCAAAAATGGAGGGAGGTGCAATTTTACTAGCAGTATTAAAGATAATACAGATAGTGGAAGTGATTTTCAGAACACCAATATCAATGGTGGTTTTGTTATTGGAGGAACAAGAAGCAAGAAGAATTTGAATCCTGAAGGAACTACTTTGCCCGTTGATGAACTGAATAACATGAACAGTGGTAAAGCTGATGATTCCAATAGTTTTATGGGTCACAGAGATAATGACGGGACATACTGTAAATTAAAATTTGGAAGTAGGTGTGGTTTTGGTACTGATTTGCAGAGCCCTCTATTTGAACTCTCGGATGAGATGAAGGGATTAAACATTGATGGTTCTGAAGCAGTTGCTGAGAAGAACCGAAAATGTGGTAGCAATTCATCTGCCACTGCTAGTAACGTATTCATGTTTGGAAGCAGTGGAAGGGAGTCTTTTTTTTCAACTGAAAGACCTGATACCATGTCCTGGAATTCATTCAGGGATGCGAATGCAGAAGGCAATGACCTTGAAAAGCATGACGAAATTGATGCAAAAAGGAATGCCCATAAGGTAAATACACATGAAAATACTGGAAAACCTGCTGATTTTTGTAGACCAAATGTTTCAGACATGTTATTTGGTGAAATGAAAAATGCGAATTCTGAAACTAGGGCTGGAGTATCCAGTCAACAGACATATTCATGGTTTTCTGTTGCTGGTGCTTTTGGAAAGGATAATCACACTATGAACAAGAAGGCTTCAGATGAGGATCACTTATTGCTGAATAACGTCCAATCCAATAGAATGTCTTCTTCATGTTTTTTCTCGTCAATTGGAACTGGTGTTCAGCCAAAAAATGGTGACTTTTATGAAGGTATTAGTAAATCTGAGAAGGACAGAAATAGCTTTATGAGCACACCCATTAGATTAGAGTCATCTTGTACAGACTTTAGCACTCCAGATATTGAATTTTCCTTTCCGACATCTAATTTATTTCCCGGAGTAAATAAGAAGTTAGAATTTAGTGCAAATCATGAATCAGCTAGGAGCAGAAGATTGAAGAAGGCAAATGGAAAGTTAAGACAAAGAAGACATAACCCCGAGCAAGACCACATGTCTAAAGAAGGCAGTTTTCGGCAAAATTATGAGTCCCCTGGGTGTGGTTCACCCATGGATTTTTCACCTTATCAAGATACTTGTAGTAACAATGCACCATCAGGTGGCTTTGCAACTATGGCTACTGGAGTGGAAAGAGAAGATGTTATGACAAATGGAGACGATTTTATGGGACATACTGAAAGGCCATCTGATGGTGAGTGCAAATTTAGTTTCTCTGCTTCGTTGCCAGTACAAGATGGTTTATCAGCCATAAGGAATCAATACAAGAAAAAATACAAGTTGAAAGTTGGTTCAAATCGCACAGCCCAAGGCCGAAAATCTTCAATTGCTTCTTCTGAATTACAGTCCTCTCCCCTTGCTCGTAATATTTCAGATGTGGGTCCAGGACAGGTTCAGAGTCAAGCAACCCCATCTTGTCAAAGCAAAGAGAAATTTGTATTTAATGCTGACAAACAAAATTCAAAACAATGCCCTATAGAGTCTGCATCGGATGAATTGTGTGAGCACTGGCGAATCAGGTACACTTCATTTCTTAGTAATCAAATACCTAAGCACCCCCATCGTAGTTGTTTTCTATCAAATCATTTTTTGTTTTGGTGAAATCTTCACCAGTTACATAGGAGACATTTCGGTAATTGTTTTGTTTTGCTGCAAAGGTTTTTGAATATTGTTATCTGTTATTGGACACGAGAAATCATTTCCATTGTTTAAAGGATACAATGCTTTCAGGGGAAACCAGGCTTATCGTGCTGGGAAATTTTCTAAAGCTGAAGAGCTTTATTCAACGGGCATAAATTCTGCCTCACATGCAAGTATCGAAGGATGCTCCATTAAACCGCTTTTGCTCTGCTATAGCAACCGTGCAGCCACACGAATGTCTCTTGGGAGGATGAGGGAAGCCTTGGAAGACTGTATAAAGGCTATTGAATTAGACCCCAGCTTTCTCAAGGTCGCAGTAAGAGCTGGAAAGTAAGAACTTTATCAATGTCCGTTCTTACTATCATCTGTTTCTTTGACTAATAGCGCTAAAGTGGCAAATTAAACATGAGAACAATTTTGTCGTTAATACTCGACTATATTTTCATGTAAATTAACGATATAGTACACAAGTGCAAGACATGCATTTTCCATATTTAGTGAGCAACCTATATTCCACTAGTATTTTATTGGAGACTTAAGTTCTGATAGTTGCAGTACTAGATGGCTAACTGCACGGCCTTTACCCTCTTGATACCCAAGCAATTATATCTCTATTCATCAACAAATAAGTGCTTGCTCGGTCAAGCTTATAAGTGCTTATAAACCATGGGTCCTACGGAATGTGCAATAAGTCGTGGGTCCTATGAAATGTTGATAAAATGTATGTCCGACCAGCTTTTAAAAAAAAGCTTTACCAAACATGCACTAGGAAAAAGGAAAGAAAGTGGATTGCTAGTCTGCTACTAACTAGAATGTTGCACCTCATACCTCGTCCTTGGATTTGGCCACAATTATACTATTGATTGAGGAAAGTGAATAGATGTCAAAATCTATCCAATCACCAATCAATGTCAAATATCCCGAAGAGGAGAGCGCATCCATCGGTGCTTGCACCCATGCATATTGCAACCATTTGCATGATACTATATGGTTGCCTTTGATACTGTTTCCTATCATCATCATTTTTGTATCTTGAGATACATCAATTGATTGAATCCATTTCTTGGCTTTCTTTTTTATTATCAAGTTGTCATCTGATGCTGGGAGAAGTTGGAGATGCAATCCTATGTTACAAAAAGTGCTTGGAATCACGGATTGATGTCTGTTTAGATAGGAGAGTCACTATTGAAGCTGCTGATGGCCTGCAAAAGTCACAGGTTGCACTTTATGTCTAAATATAACTTGTTATATGAATATGGTTAAATTTGCAGACTAATTATTTCTTATAAATTAAATGTTCATGCTCATTCTCAAGCGATCTTGAATTTGGACACAAATATCCATTTTCGTTATATATTTCTTTGAAAAAGGTTATCAGCATTAAGACTTTGCCAACATTCTGTCATTATTTGATCTTTCATGAGAAATATTAAGTAATTTGAAATGTATACAGCTAAAGCTGTCGTCTTTGTTTTGTGCCTTGCTCATGTCATCTCTGTTATGCGCTCATGTCAATGGATTACTTGGAGGCGATGCAATGTGGGTCATTTGTTTTGGGGGCGTTAAATGGGTCTCCACATTGGACCTGTTAGTTCTGAACTTTGCAAAGTGAAGTGGATTGGGAGAGGGGAAACTGATCAATAAGGTCCAACTAGACATATATGGGCTTCAAGTCAACATGCTAACTCCCCACCTAGAGTGAATGAGTACGATTTATCTTTGAAGTCGTCTCTCTCTTCAGAATGTGTGAGTATATTATCTAGGAAATCATGAATCTTCTTTTTTAGCATCTGTGCCCCAAAAGTGACGAAAATGTTCTGAAGCCTGGCCTGTTAGTAGATAAATATTAGTAGAGATTATCCTTCACAAGTAAATGACGACCGCATAGCCACAATTTATCAGAGATTTTTGGGCAGGGAGTGTTGAAAGAGGTTCTGCTTGCACATTTTCTATCCTTTTGCTCTTGTAGGTGATCAAGAGCCCACCTTTTTGAAAGCCTCCAGAGTCAAAATGATAATTGCTTCCCTTGGGATAAATGATCTCAAAATCAGCTTTAGAAGATAACACAATCTCTTATCACTTTATTTATTTTAAATTATTCTACTCCTGAACGTCTAGAAAGGTGAAGTATTCTCATTTCTTTTCTCTTTCCCCTTAGAGTTTTCCAATCAAGGGAGGAGTATCATTTTCCTTCCCTTCCTTCCTCCATCCCTCCAATATCTTATATTTAAAATGGTCCGGAAACATTATGTATGATCCATCATATGTCTCATCTTGGAATTATCATATACAGTTGGAGGAAATTTCATGAACAAGTCTGCCAAAACAAAGATAAAATGGAGAAAGGAAAAAAAACTGTATTGTGGATAGGAATGTATTGTTGTGTGTAAATTTCACTCGTCGCTCTCTCTTCCCGCCACATGTATGTATTTCAGCATGTGTTTGTATATCCCATGATCATATATAAGATCCATAAAAATAACAACTGACTAAAAATTTTATTGGCTGACAGAGAGTGGCCGAGTATATGCTTCAGTCTGCTGAACTTCTGCAAGAAAGAACTCATGATGCAGCAACCAGTGCTCTAGGGAATATTACGGAAGCCTTGATGATAAGTCATTATTCTGAGAGATTATTTGAGATGAAAGGAGAGGCTCTTTGCACTGTATGTCCTCATCAAATCTCTCATAACTGACATAAATTGTTTTTATTGGAGTTGTGTTTTTCATTGTTATTTTCTTTTTACTCATGGCCTCAAATTGGTAAATATTTTCATTATCAATGATTTAACAGTTACGGAAATACGATGAGGTGATTCAACTATGTGAGCAAACTCTTGATATTTCTGAGAAGAACCTAGCTTCTGCTGACGTGGATGATTCCAATTGCAAGAGCTCTCATGTGAGGTTGTGGAGATGGCGCCTACAATCCAAGTCCCACTATCATCTGGGAAGGCTTGACATAGCTCTTGATTTGATTGAAAAACAAGAGGAATTGATTTCTATTGGCACTAAGTAAAACTCATTATCCATCAAGAACCAGATTAAATTATATCTTTTAAATGTATTTGGTTATGTTGATCCCATGTCTCACCATGTAGGTATAGAAACATGAACCAGGAATCCTCAATTCCTTTTGCTGCCACTGTACGCGAGCTTTTAAATTTGAAGGTATGTCAACTTATATATTAAGTTTGTATTTTCATTTGGATACAGATTCTTTGCTGTTAAAATAGCTGTTTCAGCTATCCAAGCACAAGAAAATGTGTAGCTGTTTTGATCACTTGTAATCTTTGTAAAGAATTTTGAAATAGAATGAAATCCCTTATATTCTTTCTTTCCCTTCGTCAATGGAGACATATTACAGAAATCTTAATTGGCTTCCCTGTTCCAATAATTCCTGCTAAGCCTATCATATTATAATTACTCAAAGTATCCTTTCTGGATGTTGGTTGTATACCAACCGCTTGTGGGTTTCTTTTGATTGGTTATTCCTTTGTTTAAGCTCTCTGTCTCAGTGTTCGTTAAACTTAAGAGGTAAAAGAAACATAGCTGCACGTCTTCTCTCATCTGAAATGGTGAATAAAATTTTCATTTTTTGTGATTCTATTTCTAGACTTAAAATATTTATTTTGCTAAATTGATCAGTGGAAGTATCTGTCTTCCTGAATGCTTTTCAATGTATCATATTTTGGTTTATTTACTTTTTCTTTTTATATTCTTTACAGAAATTAGGAAATGAAGCTTTTCAGTCCGGAAGGCATACAGAAGCTGTAGAGCATTATACTGCAGCTATATCAAAAAGTGGCGAGTCACGCCATTTTATGGCTATCTGTTTCTGCAATCGTGCAGCTGCATACCAAGCACTTGGCCAAATTGTTGATGCCATTGCTGATTGTAGTGTGGCCATTGCTCTTGATGATAATTACCAGAAGGTTTGGGTCTAAATCACACAATGATGTACCTTAGTTCATTGAGAGTGCAAGTTATCATTTTTTGTTTCTACTTTTTCTGGGCTTTTTCTTGCTTATAGATTGGCTTTTGTCATCTTCATTTCGAAACATGCTTTTTATTCACCGTAGGCATGAAAATTAATATGTTTCTTCAATGTAAGGACAAGTTTAGCACTAGAAATGATAAAAAATATGTTCCATTTAGAGTGTCTATAAAATAGGATCAATGCATCAAATGCAATTAATTTGAAAGTGTCATAGCCAGCTTGATGAAGTATATTTTTTTTTAAGAGTAAGCAACAATTTCCTTCAAAATTAATATGTTTATAAACAGTTTAAATTATAAATAGATAGAATTGAGCGGTGGATAAATGGGTAGTACTTGTGGGCTCCTCGAAATGTATGGATAAAAAGTGGCTTTGAGTATTTATAAACATGAGCCAAACAATAGCCTATGCTAAGTAGAAAGTGGCAGATTGTGGTGGTTTGTTTGCCAACAATTTATTTGTCTAATTGTCCTTGTCATCTTTGCAGGCACTTTCCAGGAGAGCCACATTACATGAGATGATTAGAGATTATAAGCAAGCAGTTTGTGATCTTCAGAGAGTCGTTTCTCTGCTTGAAAGTCCATTACAAGCAAAAACTCGACAATCTGGAGGACAGGATAAATCAAATTGTGGTAGTGCGAAAGATTTAAGAAGAACACGTCGCCGTCTTTCTTTAATTGAAGAGAAAGCTAAAACAGAAACTCAACTGGATCTTTATGTCATTTTGTAAGTCATAGTCTTCTTTTTGTTCAGCACTTCAATCTGAAGCTAATTTATCTGTGACTTAAACTGGCATTATCAAATTCTATTTCCCAAGTTGTAATTTGCATGTCTTTGCTGTAAAATCATCAGCACAACATCATGTGTAAAGATGGGTTTTCATTTGTTTCATTTGTACATACACATCTAAACAACATCATTTGTAAAGATGGGTTTTCATTTGTACATACACATCTAAATTAAAGAAAGATGAATGCACATACCATAAAGTTGTATTCCTTTTCAATCTGTTTGGCATTCCTGTAAATGATACTAGACATTGTGCATTTAGAGCTTTCTTGTTAATCTTGCTTAAAATTTTGAATCTATAGACTGTCAATTGAGATCCATATTCAAGTTTTAAACATTTCATTACTCTTAAATGCTGTCTTACAGGGGAATCAAATCATCCGATACAGAATCCGAGATTAAAAAAGCATATAGAAAGGCTGCTCTTAGACATCATCCAGACAAGGTCATGAACTTCTTATCATGGCTATATTAGTGAATATTGTTGAGCATTCAAGAATGTATGGCTAACTTATTTCTGCTGCTATAGGCTGGCCAGTTATTGGCGAGGAGTGAGGGTTTGGATGATGGAAGATTGTGGAAAGAGGTTGGTGAGAACATCCACAAGGATGCTGACAGGTTATTCAAAATCATTGGGGAGGCATATGCTGTACTTTCAGATCCCATCAAGGTATACTAGGAGCATTATAAACAGACAATTCTAATAATTGCTATTTTAGTTTTTTTTTCTTCTGCCCTAGTGCCCTACCCCCCAACACACACACACACACACAAAGAAAAGGGGGAAAAAGAAGTAACTTTTGAAATAGTGTGAACATGTTTGGTATAGAAGTAATTTTACTTTCTTGTTATGCTCTGAGCCCTGGATGTAGATCAGTAAGAGTCTTTTTTGTTTGTTTTTAGTGAAAGTAATGGCATCCATAATTCATTCCAACAATTAGAATTAAGAGCGTCTACATTGAAAGGAGGAGGGCAATCATCGCAAACATTATAACTTAAATGCAAAAAAGAGTCCTTAGCTAGAGCATGAGCAGCAAAGTGAGCTTTGCGCTGAATGAATCAAGATTCGAGGTCTTGAAACAGTTCAGACATTAAATTTATGAAAAATACTCTCTACATACTCCCAGTAATCCATTCAGGATTAAATGTATGCGAAGTTCCTGAAAGAAGACAGCAACTTTCTTTTTGGTGTTGTAATTGCATAGTGTTGCCTGTGGAAGTCTTAATCTTAGCTTAAAAGCTGCCTTTTTTTATTTTTGGCTAGTGCAGTTTACCTTGGGCGACATCAGAAACACTTCCTAATATGTTTGTAGTTTTGAGATGCGGATTTCTAACATTGATGTTCAACTCTATTTGCAGCGCTCCAAGTATAATGACGAAGAGGAAGTGAGAAATTATTACAGGGATAGCAATTCTGAACGACAATCTACTTCTTACAGTTCTCCATACGAGAATGGCAATCGATATGGGAGACAATCGGGTTTTTATAATTCTTCAACTGCGAGAAGCAACAGTGGACGATATTGGAACGAATCATGGAAATCTTATGGTAATTCAAATCCCCGGTGGTAAGCAGGCAGTGGTGTTTTTGCAAGTAACCATGACCTGTAAGATCAAAAGTAGCTTACCAACTGGCCCGAGCTTGGATCTATGGAACATTACAGATCTCCCATAATTTCTCAGCTGCTCAGTGGTACAGCAGTCTATCTGCCAGATTTTGATTTGCAAACGCGGAAAATCATCCCATTAGGGTTATAAGGGCTGAGATCTAATATTGTGTACCAAACGTGTCAGTGTTTCTTACAAGAACTAGCCTTTGCCAGTGAGGCCTTGATCTAATGGTAAAGGACAAAGGCTGAGGTTTTGAGATTAATAGTTCAATGCACATTAATATGTGGTATTTATCCTTGCTTAAAGTACACTTTGTTTGTAATTGTTTGATTTTTGTGGTTAAAATGTAATTATATGGACATAGTGAATAATATACTACATTATGCGGACGAATTAAGAATTTTGAAGAGCTTATGAGGATAATTTTATTAGATTGAATTTCAATTAACTACATTACTCAAGAATATTACTATTATTTACACTTAAAATTATTGAAGAAAAAAGGAAAATTGTTGAAATACGAATATATGGTCACATCAATTTATTAAATAATACTTATGACAAGGTACAAGATAATCTCTTTTGGTTTTGTTGTGTTAAATAAGTCTCTTTGATTTCTATTATTTTTAAAATACATCTGTCTTTCTTATTTATAATTATACATATTTTAATAAAATAATATTACACGCAAAAAATTCTTTATTTTTAACCATATGTTCTTCATTAAAATACATTTTGGGCAAAAATGAATTTCAGACAGGCTCTAAACATCAAAAAAATTTCCCAATCAATACTTACCTCAAAAGTGATATTTTAAACTCGTTTGACATGATTTTTGAAAAGTCAAAAGAAATTTTTGAGATTCAAAAATTGCTCTTCGACTCGTTTGACTAATTTTATGAAATTGTTTTTCTATTATAAGAGCTTTTAGAGAAAAGTTGTTCCGATGTGATTTCTTTTAAGGAATAAGAAAATATTTTAAAAATGTTTCCTTCATAAGCTCTTTTACAAGATACAAATGAGGCTCAAATAAATTATGCCAAAATTTATATTTCGATAAATAAATATGCCAAACTTAATTGCTAATAAAGTGGATTAAGAAAATCTGCATGTTTGGCTAAGCTTTTTTACTTATAAGTAAATAAGAAAATCAGCATGTTTGTCTAAGCTTTTTACTTCGTTTATTTTGAAAGAATACTTCGAGTCAGAAGAGAAACTAATTTTACAGGGAAAGAATGGCAGAATCCAACAATCTTGAAGCAACAATGAAACCGTTCTATCAAAGAGCTTCCGAGGCAGAGGTTCGAATTTCACCCTTTCTATTCTCCATTTGTATATGCACAATACATTTATGTTCTGTGTTTTTGTGAATTTTCTGGACCCTAATTCCTAAAATATCAAGATTTTTGCTCCTTTTCCTTCGTTAAATTGACAAGATTCTACTGTAAACGTTTGGAAGATGTGCTGAATTTGTACTGTCTGAAGTGCTAAATTTCAGCCCATCCCATAAACCATAAACCCCACATCGTCAAGATTTTACCCTCCGATTGGCCATAGTATTATACTGATATGACAAGTTTTGTGAATAATAACGTAGAGTTGGATTAGCCCTCATTCTCACATAGATATAGCTGTATGGGTAGCATGTTATTTTTTCGCATAAATTAAGGAAATGGATACAAAGATGGATTCTTGGATAGTTGCTCAATAAAAATGTATGAATAATTATCTCACTTAAACGTGCCTACTTGGCTGTTCATTCTCGTAAGAAATCAATGTTTGTCTTCTGGCTTTTGATGTTGAATATGTTTGGTTTTTGATGAAGGATCGATTGGCAAGACTTGAAGCTGCCCTTGCCGAAAAAATAGGTTTGTTCAAGAAAGCTCTTTTGTTACCCATGCACATACTTCAAAATAAGGTTTTCTCCTAATTTATTTTTTACATTGAAATGGTGATATTTAGATTCTGGAAATGAGGAATTACTTAAGAGAGTTGGTGAACTCCAGTCAGAGCTTGAAAATGTAAAAGCTGAGCAAGTTGCAGAGAGGCAGAAGGTATATTAATGTATCTAAGTTTAGCGAATAAGTGGTAATAGAATTCATAATAATTGGTCTCGCTATTTGTGACTCAGGCTACAAAAGAGCTGGAGCAGCTTACTGCGGAAAATGAAAAGCTCAGATATCGCATTATACATCTTGTCAGAGCTTTGAAGGAGGATGGCAGCAAGTTATCATCCAAGTGAGGTACAACAGCATTACTGTTTGTTGAGGAAGAGAGATTTTTGTTAAGCATCAGAATGCTCAAATCCCCTTTCGTTGTCTATGATTTCTGTTTTCTTGTGCAATTTAACATTGCCTTCATTTCTTCATACTGTATCAGACAATAACCTCGTTATGAAGAAATTATGGCAGGATTCGACAATTTTCTTTTTGGATTCAGTGTTGGTATTATATCACAGTGATTTATTATTTATTGAAGACATCAGTAAAATTTCTGCAATGCCTTTGGTTCTTCCATAAAGGCTTCTATTGCTTTGTTGCAAACTGCGTTGGTTGACTTAAAATTTTTAAAATTGATTGTGTGTGTAGAGTTTAGCATTCCATATCTGATCAAATTGACCTTCACCTCTGAAAATGATTAGTCTTTCTTTGGGGCATTGTAAGTTCTTTTCATTCAAATATCGATCTCAACCAACTAGGAGTATATCAGTTCCCTGCCTGTCTACTGAGTTTGTTCAAACTTCTAGGTTTTTCCTGTCTTTGAACATTTAAATACATTTTTTAGAGATGATTTTTTTATTTATCACCTCTCTTTTATCTTAAGAGTTACCAGTTTTTTCTTTAGAATTTCACATGGTCTTTGTTACCTTGTCTCTCCTACAACCAGTTGACCCCTTCCCCTGTTGCCGCGTACGTATATAGGGTATTTTAAGAAGCGAACAGATGTCAGAATCTAACAATCATCTTGAGCCAACAAGCTATTTACCTTAGTTCATACTTTTCAATCTCAGAAAGTGATGATCTCTTGCAATAATGCATTTTATGTCGTGCAAGCTATTTATAGATGTGCACAACCTAAAATTTCTCATCGATACCGTATAGTTTGAAGTTTGGACACACAATAGCCAGAAAAATAGTGAAAGTTTATAATATTATTGTCTGTTTTGAATTGAACTTGTAAAAGGTGAGATACAGATAGCTGCTAGTAATTAATTTGCTGGGATCTTGTGAGATAATTGTTTTATCTGTAGCTGGAAGGATACCTACGCAGTTGTTGAGCAGTAGAACTATATGAAATAATTATCATGTTCTTGAAATGCTTTGGAAACAAACGTACTGTGACACAGATTATTCTTTTCAGTGAAAAAGTCTATTTTTTTCCTCATAAATATATTATAACGGTATCTACTCCTACCGGTGCTAACGATTCTCGTCTTTCTCAAAACAATGATTAATTTGTGATTTGGTATAGGCTTGTTTGCAGAACATGTTGATTTGACTCCATAAGCTTGACCAAACATGTTCCTGCCAAGAAGTAGAACCTCGTAGAAGTAGAAACGTATTCGGGTGATAATGATGCCTTTTAGTGTGAGATTCAAAACAATAACTAACTTAAGCATGATTATGAGATTAATTATAGTAACAACCATACAAATTAAAGTTGTTTCTTCATGGGTGCATCGGTGTGAGAGTTTCTTTCGTGATCATCATCAAGTGATGAAGAATATGATTTATGTTGGAACGTCGTTCATGAGTCTATTTCGCATCTTTTGTGAACAAAATTAGTAGTGTTTGAATAAGAGACGTGTTTTAAGCACAAAGGTTGAAAGACATCCTTATGTATACTAGAGGTAGATATTCACCTCAAGTACTTAGGATCTTTTTGGGTAGTACGAGGTGCAATTTTTTGTATTATTATTATTATTATTTTCACAATCGTCGAAGAATTTACAACAGAGACTGCCTTCTATTTGGCATACCAAGTAGATATATCAAAATGAAATTATAAACTCAATGAGTAGCGAATCAAAGTACGGTGACTCAATTAAAATTACATCATAAGTTTGCGCTCCATTCTGGTTTACACACTGTTTGTAATTATGATAAAACTGAAACAAGAGCTAGAAGCCGAGGTGCAAAAATGTCACTTGGAATGATGAAGACTTCCTCGAAGTAGCCTAAATTATGAGTCGAATAAGCTAACTTTTTTGAGGCAAAAAAGGGTTTCCTCTGCTATATAATCTGTAGGCCAGTCGAAATCCTGCAATGGATAACATCTTGCTGTCAAGTGAGGTGCAATAACATAATGGGAAACACATGAATATTATGTAGAAAGTCGCCGCAATTTATCAATCCATTTCATCCATAAACAATTCATAAACAAAAACAGGGAACGAAGGAAAGAGAAGTGCAAATATAGTTGATGCACATCATTGTACGTTATGCACAACTTGATGAAGTACACGTTGAAAAGCTCGATTAAGATTACAATAGTGAAATTTTTACCATATAACCTTGTAGATAGAGTTTTAAACCAAAACCGGAACAACCTAAAATAACTAGGGCGCTGTGCAGAACATTAATTGTAGGGGTGGGTCAGCCACAGCCCAGCCTGGGCCTGAATCGTGCCGACCGCCAAGACCTGGATGGCACCACCCCTTTCTACGCCCGTATTTGTAGTGTCAGCTTTTCTTTGACCTCACATTGAATTGGGGAACTAAGTCTTCTGGTGAAAATAAAACAATTCAAACTCTCTTGCTATTATACCAACTAAATACACAAATGTTGTATAACCAGCTACATGCATTGCAGCTAAAATGAATTACAATTGAATCGCACAATCTCACAAATGTGTCTCTCTATTTCACTATTATTTCTTAAGTTCTGCTGCAGTTTATATCACCTCAAAACGTTAAATAATGGGTTGTGAAGATACTGACTTAACGTGTTCTTGCAAGGGGCAGGAACTTGGCAGCGTTGAGGCTGTATGGTGCTTGACGTAGTTGACAAAAACACTGAGCTCGTGAGAGTGTGGTATCAGAACTAGGGTCACAGGGTAGATTCATAAGACCGTCAGGATTGTTGGGGTGCAACATAGCCACTCTTAAGTCCATGAGTGCGTCACTCAAATGATTGTGATCGAATGCCATAAAAGGTTTAGTCTACCTTCATTGGACACCAATTTCAGATCAGATGGTCGAAACCCAATCCTACAAGTGCTATGCCAAACTCCATCTTTATTTGAAGTAGAATGCCTTATCAATGGAGTCCGCATATACACCCTTCTTTATGCCCGCGTGTGTAAGCATGTGCTCAGTTATGTGTGCATGTGCATTCTATTCTTGAGTGCCTATCTAGATGGGAGGGGGAGTATGGAGAAAAAATGGGGGAAGGGAGCACTAGCAGGAGAGCTGGTTAAGAAAGAGTGAGTGGGGTGCAGAAGCATACGGGGAAAGCTGTATTAAGATTCCGATTAAAAACATATAAATAAAACTGAGAGGCTTGTCCACATAATATTTAAGAAACAAGACTTTTCATTTTCTCTGTTCAACTTGGTGGTTCTTAAACAATTTTTTTCTAATTCCTATTATCATCTTGCCTTGGCAACATCATGAAACATGAATAGACACCAGTGAAACAGAAATTTATGTAACTCACGGTTTTCCACTACAACAACGAAGGGTTATGTAAAAGAAAGTGAACAGAGATTTAACAAGCTAACCTGCTCCATGCAGATGTCACTCAGTCGTTTTCTCCATGATATCTTTTAACTTTTGCAGCCAGTTCATGTATTGACCTTGCTCCTTTCTGTGTAGATGGAGAAGGAGGAAGTTGATGAAGTCTTCACTGATTCCCCTGGTAGCAAGATATTGTTTTAGCTCGTGTTGCAAATCCGCGTCCAAAGAACTGCAACAGGGTGCACAACTGAGGAATTAAATGGAATATTACAGATTTACATGGAATAACGGACAAAACTGGTATCCCAAAATTTCATCCCAGAGGAAAATAAGATATAAGATTTTGGGAAACAAAAAATCAATTTGTATTGGTTAATTTAGAATACTTTATGCCATCTGATTAATAGTACACGGCACAACTATGTTCAACCTGGTTTCACCAGTCAGTATCCAACCATGATAACAGAGGCATGATGCCATGGGCTAATTCAAATTGACAACAATGTGAATCCAACCTTTGCTATGTTTTAATTGCATGTAGACCAACTTGCACCTTCAATCTTCTTACACGGCGTGATGCAGAACATGTTTGCTAAGCTTATAAATAAAATAAGTAAAAGTTAACTATTGGTTTCTAACATGTTTGGATATCTTACTTACTTTCAAGATAATAAAAAGAAAAAAAAATGTTACTTGTATAAAAGTAATTCTTACCTTACAGTTAAAATACGTAACTTATTTTCAATTTTGATCATTAAACTTATTAATTTTAAAACTTACCTATTTCTTAAGAAATAAACCTTTTAAGCTTATTATCATGCTCATAGTGTTCCCCACCCAAAAAAGGAGTAAAATAAAAGAAAAGAGATTAATAGTTGGGGGTTTTCAGCTTGGCAAATTGAAGTGGTGCCCCAACTTTCAAAGACTGTTTTAATTGCAATACATAGTAAGAGCATCACCAAGAGGCTCTTTAAACATAAAATACTCCTGATTTAAAGAGTCAACTATTAAAATTATGCTCCAAGAAACTCTTCAAATTAATAATTTAAAATAAAGAGTGAGTTTGCCTCTCCAAATTAACATCCTCTCTATAATTAAATGCATTCAAAGTATTTCATTTTCAATGGAAGAAAACAATGTAATAATTTGGAGGGAAGCTAATAAAAATAAAACTTAGGGACAAATAATAAACATTTTTTGGGAGTAGTAAAATTAAGTGTTAAAGATAACGATTTTGCTGGAGTACTTAAAAATTTTTACTCTAAATTTATAAATACTCTCTAAATTGAAAAATATGCATTTTAAAAATAGAGTCTTTTGGGAATACTCTAACAAGATCAATCTATTCCTCGAAAAAAAATATGAAGAGGTTATATAAAACACCTGAATGGGGGACCTTTATAGAATGAAGAACCCAGGCATGATGGCAAATGTATGTAATTTGCATTCTGAATGTCAAACTCAGATTCATTACCACCTTTCCCAGATGCTATACAATCAAACTGCAAGAGGGAGTTCAAACCAGGCTTCTTAACACATATTTTTATCAAAGCTTCCCTGGGCAAAATACCATCTCCTTGGAATGTTTCACGGCCTAACAAAGCTGAAATAGCTACTTCCTCCCCAGATGCACATTTTTTCCGCAAAACCACATCTTGGGTCTGTGGAGAATCCCATTCCAGAACAAAATCTTTGGAGGAACCGCTTTCACCTGTCTGCTTAGATATCAACAGTTGATATTGAAAGTTGAACTAAATTCTATTGTGTAAGAAATGAAAACTCTACTTCCACATGTCAAATACTTCAAAGGGACTATAATACAGATTCATAGAATGATACCCACATTTTAGTGACTACGGAATATAAATGTTTAGAACGATCAAAATAAAAGAGGTGTCATGGAAAAGTATCCAATATGCATTTAGTGTCATGGGAGGCATGCAGAGCATTTAAAGTGAGTGATAGTATATTCACAAGAACAAATCTCCTTATCTAAATATGCTGTCTTGCTTCTGCATTAAGGTGCTGTTTGGCAGGGCTTTTTGAGACTTTCCAGTGTAAACAAAAAAAGAAATACATTCAGTTATATTTCCAGGAGGAACTTATGATAAAGCCATGTGCCAGAAATTACTTCATGGAAAATGTGTTCCCCAATCATCTTGGATACACTAGATGGGAAAAATTCATTAGGCAAGTCTATAGTATAATCAAGAATGGAAAGTTTTACATCCTTCAGTTCAATACATTGACTCTTTCATGTTGCTCGGCAAGTCGAAAAAGTGAGATACAGAAGTGTTTCTGTAAATTATATAGGGTGCAGGCAATTTTGGAAATCCTTCGAGCAAGCCAAAGTCAAAGAAGAATGTTTAGTTAATTCAGTGCTGAGGTGGAAGCACTTCTAAAATAAACTCTTACCAAAGATAAAAGCTTTCTAGAATTTCTTTTTGCTTTACTAAACCGACTTCTCTTTACCAAAACTATATCAAACTTGGGGTTCTCTTTTCCACTTTTCAGCCATTATTTTTCCCCAAGCACTAGAATGCCTTGTAACATGTTTGGTGTATTAATTGGACTGCATTGGCAGAATTAAGGTTGCAAGATGAAGTTTAATCTTGGCTACTTTCTTGTGCAGCATCCTCCAAATTCCACATACCAAACATGCCCCTTGATTAGGTTGTACCATTTGTTTTCATTATGAAAATTCTTAGTTACATAATGATATTAAACAAACTCGTGTAGCCTACCAATTCTACCACAACTTTTTTCATTTTTCACAGAAATCACAAGCATTAAACGCTTGAAAATACCTTGGTGCCTAGTACATTGTGCTTCAAAGTATTGTACCTTGCTCAGGCACCATCAAGTTCCAATTCGAAAGGGGAAAATCTATTTCGATCGAATCGAATTAACAGATAGATTTTTTTAAAAATCTAAACAGCACCATTTGAGCCCATGTTCTATATAAACCGCATATAATTGAAAATAATATATGTAAATATATACCTGGAAGCGATTGGAAGAGAGTTCGTGGTTGATTTCTGATTGCAGAACTTTGAGCAAATCCAATTCCTGAATGGCTTTACGAGCTCTGCGCAGTATTGGGGTTACTCTTGGCATATTTTCTTTACAGTCTCGATCGGCACCGGTAAAATTGATTCAATGGTGCTTCGAGAGGAGATTTGGATTCGCTATGGTTGTGTTTGGCTAAGCTAAAATGATTAATTTACTTATATAAGTTTTTACAATATATTCCTTGTTTGTTGAATAAGCAAGAAATCACTTAAAAGTTATTCTCATGTTAGATACTTAGTCGTTATTGTTGACTTTTATTAGACAAGTGAGACTCAATAGTTGCTATATTTTCAATTTTAATTGGATTTTAATCACTTCCAAACATGCTCTTAGATATACATATTTAGACCTTGTTTGATCTTCATCTTTTTCAAAATACATTTTTCCCTCTCTCCTTTTCAGTTCTCTTCTTTTCAATCACGCATTTTTCAATAAAATAATATTACACACAATCAAAAAAAATTATTCATTTTTAAACACATATTCCACATCACTCTACTATTCCAAAATACATTCTACACAAATAATGCAGCTCAAATATGTCAAAAGTGAAAACGTATCTTAAAATAAATTTAACTTTCGAGTTATCATGAAACTTTTTCAAACATGTTTCATTGTTATTACACTTCAAAAATTCTTCAAGTTTTCACTTTACTTACCAAATTATTATCTCATTTGTTAATGTCGCTCACAATTTTAAAAGTAAACGATTAGATGAAATGATAAATGGGATAATATTTTGATACCAACGTGAGAACAATTGTCACGTGGGTTTCCAGGAAAAAGACATGGCTAATCAACACGGGCCAATCGCTTGTCCAGTTGTGACAGCGAAGGTCGCGTGAAATTCTAGCAAAAAGACACATGGCTAATTCACATGGACGAGTTGCTTGTCTAGTATTTGTTACATTACCTCTGGACATGGATCAAACTTTGAAGTTAGACAACGTGAAAACTGAAAAAATTAGTAATGAACCACAAACTGTTTAGAGAAGACTTCTTAAGCTTGCTATTTGGCCGGTAAACATGGAACATTGCTCTCACTTCACCTTGTCTGAAAGTACATCAAAAATTGCACTACTAAACTTTCTATCTTCTCATAACCATCAAAGTGTGGCCATTATTGGCACAGTCGAGCATTTTGTACAGAGTTACATTCATATATATACAACCCTCAACATGCAGCAGCAACCATGACATCATGTGCGGATATGAGGGGAGGTTGCACTGGGCTTCAGCCCAGTACAGCTTTGACACATATCCTATTTTGCTTTGTAACTTTTTAATTAAAGAAGTTATATTTTGGCCCAAATTTAAAATTATCCTACTTCTATAGTATTTGTCCACTTCAAGCCTAATTTCTTAAATGAACCAAATTTTAGAATTACCCCACTTCCAAATCTCTTGCTCAAAATAATAGAACTTCTTTCAAAATTTAATATGGTAGGTGAAAGGTAATGGACAACCTTATTTTTGCTACAGTAGTCCAAAGAAATAAAACACAAATGAGAGGATAGAATTATATTAATCGATGGTTTAACCTCTTCACATCAGAAAGCATATCCATGTTAGTGGCTTATCATGAACAAGAAAATTATCTAATGCAACTAACCATACATAAAAAATATGATGATGGACAAAAAAAAATAAAAACTACTGCAAATCTTAAAAGTAATTAAAGTTTAATTTTTTGTATGTTTCTTTTATTAATTTTACTTGTAAGTTAAAAAATACTTGTTGACCATGAAATAGATGTTATTATCAAAATAAGTAACTTGTTCCATATTTAATTTTATCAGTAGAAATAATATTTCATACATAAAATTGAAATAAATCCAATTTCTTTGAATTCTCGATATTCTTGTTCGGTTTTTTCCACTTCAGGTGGAATTAAAATGTGTTGATACAGAAGATTAATGTCCATATTAAATAATATTTCCAGAATGGTGTATTTTGATTAAAAAACATTAATAACTGGAATGATTTGTTGTTCTTTTTAGGTCTTGAGTCTCGTAATAGTGCAAATAGGTTTTTCTTAATTTTTTGTTGGTGGGTATACATCATTTGTTCATGTTTATCATCCTTTTGCACATTTTGTATTTTCTAGAGAGGTGTCAAGATTTTTTATTTGGCAAGAAAGGCTACGAAGATTTAGTAAGACATCTTAATGATTGATATGTTTATACTTTTTTATCTATATGACTCACTTTGTCATTTGTGTCATAAGCTTAGTTTTTTAAACTATATTTGGTGTGGCATGGAGCATCTCTTATGACGTGAGTTCACTGATTTTATTTTTAAATTTCAGCCCCCCTCAACGTCTTTTCCTGGCTTCGCCCCTGCACGACATACTACAAGTTTCGAGCAACCTTTTCATACAAATCACGAGGTCAGTTTCTATCCAAATTGTTCGCGAGAAAGTTGGCATGCAAGGTAAGGAAAATTCAGTAGTCTCAAGGTGCATTAGCTTCTCTGTTTCAGAATGATATTAGAAGCTTTTCTATGTTCATGGTTAAGATTTGAACTGTAAATTTTTAAGAATCATATTGACCATGAGAACAGAAGAAACTAAAGCACTTATATTTTTGGTAAAAGAACTAAAGCATAAGCTAGTTGATTTTATACCTCCTTTTGTACCATATACGTTAAGGAGATTTTGCATATAGTAGGTCTCTGTCCCCAACATTACTAATTGTCAAGGGTGTCAGCTATAGATCTCTTTGCTTATCCAATTCTTCAGTCACTTCTCAAGTAACTTTCCATATGATTGCTACAAAGGAATGCTTGCCTAAACTTTACTCTTAACATTATTTTTTTAGCTATTCAACACATCATTCAAGCAAGCATATTTCACATTTTCAGGACCTGTGAGAGAAATTTAGCAATCCATACAGTCAAATGCCATAGCACATTTAATTTAACTATAAAAAAACATCATCTAGTAGAAGTGTTCAGCTGAGAGGAGTAGCGTCACCTTCAATTCCAAGGACTTAAGATCACGTGCAAGTCGTTCCACATTTATTCCCTCTCGGGCTAAAAGCCTGCAAGATCGAAGAACTTCTCTCAAAATGGAGAAGGAAGAAATATACCCAATAACTGAATGAGAGATGCTTGATGTACACACTTGGGTGTACATCATGCATTACACTCCTCTCACAATGGTGGAGGGTCCGCAATTTAAAAAATCACTGTCCCCACACTCCACTATGAGAGGAGTGTAAGTCTTAATGTACACAAGAGTGTACATTAAGGCTCTATTTGATCCGCATTTTTTTATTCTTATTCTTCTACCCATTTTCAACCACACATTTTTCAATAAAATAATATTTTCCATCACATCAATAACTTTTCCTTTTTTTTCAAACACATATTTTTCATCACATCAACAGTAAAAATGCATTCTTACTTTCAAAATGTGTATCAAACGGGGGCTAAGACTTATTCTAACTAAATTTAAAGATGCTACTCAAACAACTAAATTGCCACACGTTTCAATATACAAGTCAATTCAATTATGATAAAAGCTTAAGATAAAACAGATGCATAAATATTTTTAAAATATATCAGCAGCGACTAAAAGCATCAAATCAAAATCATAATCAGCTTAAATTTTGCAAAGACAATATGAGCGTCTGTTTGTTTCTCATTATTTCAGCATAAAAATGAGAATTGTTATCGTTATATTCAAAGTTGTGGGGCCCACCAAGAGAGAAACAAGTCAACAATGGTGACTGGCACTGTATAACGGTCTTAAATCTTTGGCAAAAAAAGGAGAAACAAACTGGGGCTGAATATATGAAGTTTTAATTAAGTTACCTAGTAGCCGCAATAGATTGAGAAGGAGCTTCAGTTCGTAAAGTTTTTGCCTTTAGCATCTTTGACAATGACTCGAGTTGATCCAAATTCCTCTAATTTCCCATCAAGAAATCATTAAAACATCAAAATAGTTGACTTCCAAAATTTTTGAAAAACGAGAAAATGATAACAAACCATGCCATTCAGCTAACATTTTAAAAAATAAAAAGGTATATGAAATAATGGCAATATGGTTTTTTCTTTGACAAGAACTCCCATTAAGAAGGAGCTTCAGTTCTTAGAGTTATTCGCCTTGCTCTTCTTCTAAAAGGAATACAATTGATCCAAATTCCTCTAATTTTCGACCCACTAACAAACCAAACTTCGACATTGCTGGTTCCATAGTAAACAACAGAAAAGCAAATTGAAAAATGGGAATTTGCTACAGAAATTACAATTTTCTCTCGTTTCATTTGTTCAATTGGTATCTGAGGAGGAGGGAACTGAGCAGGAGGAGTGGCTTGATCGAGAAGCTTCGAAGAGGAATGCAGAAGATCCGACCATCCACTCATGTCTGAATCATTCGCCATTCTTCCGCCCGTTTTACAATCGAACGAAAGCAAGTGTCCGTATAATATATATATCTATCTTAGAGAAAGAAAGAAGAAATTGCGGGTTCAGAGTGATGGAGCTAAAAAACCTTACTTGAACGGTAAAGTTTTTGCCTATGTTATTGTCTGTGACGCAGCCTTTCTATCTTACAGTACTCCCTGTTGGGAAATATGTAGGAAATCTGAAACAATAAATAACTCCAAGGCACGAAAATCGTTATCTTTTAAGAGATGTTTCTCCCCTTTCCAACAAAGTCACGACCGGGGTATGATAGAAAATCTCTCTCAGGATACAATGGAGGCGTTTGATTCAAATTGTGACTATTTGATCAAACCAAGAAACACTCTATAGAGAAACTGATGATGCCAAGAGAAAGATAGAAGAATAGAAAGTTTTAAAAAGTGTCTCGCAAATGAGAATTCGCCCAGAATATATAGAAATGGAGGCAACCTTTTGAATAGGTGTGTCCCTTGAAATGAATGGACGCATCTGTTGGAAGAAACATACCTATTCAAAAACTTCTGAAAATAAAATTCTCTTTCGGGGGCGTTGCCCCCGAGCCCCCACGGGGGGCGCTGCCCCCTCGACCCCCGCGACCTGACCGGGCAGGTCGATCCCCGTTGCGTAGCGGCAAACACTAGTCGGAGCGGCAAAACATTCGCAAAACAAAAGATAATACATGCAAAATGATGAAAAATATCTAACACTCCCGCGGCAATTTATTCTTTACTAAGGGAATTTATCGGATGTTGTAGTGATTTCTACAAGGATAAATCATCTTCGTCACCTTGGAAGGTAATATCAGATTTATGTAGTAAAATTATGGCTTAAATCTATTGCGCTTTATATTTTGATTTTGTACTCGATTTAATTGCTGTGAATGATTTAATTTCAACACAATTGAGTTACCGCCGAATCAGTCCTAAGATTCCATCCAGCCTCATTTACATTCTCTTCTTTAGCTCCTTGGAGAGTTTTTTGCACAAAATTCTAGTTTCTTGAGCGTAACCTCCCTTATGCAGCCGCAATTTCTTGGCTGCCCCTCAAGTGTAATCGGTGGCTCTGATCCTGATACTAGGTGTTTGATGAAATGCCTCAACTACTCTTAAATGTTGTTTCTGCGAGGTTTGAATTCTTTTCTGAGTTCAATTGTGTACTATCTTTAAAATGTTCATGCAATTTTAACTCGAAGTTCCAAATTTTTTTGTGGGTTTTGTTTATAGTGATTCGGAATTGCATTAAATTCGAGCAATGGAAGATGGTGAGAAGGAGAGATTGAGGTTTTCTGAAGGAAAAAATGATTGGGGTAGTGATTCTGAGGGTTATTTGGACGACCTAGTTGATGATGAACTTTGCTACTCGTCTGGTGACATCCCCAAATTGCAATTCAGGTATAATCGTGAAACGAGAGGAATCCTTTAATACGTGTGTTTGTTTTGTATAGATTATAATTATATAAAAAGAATTTTTTCTTTTCTTTTGTGAAGGAAAGATGTGTCGAAGGCACGGTGGATCGAGGATTTGGGAATGGCCGAGGTGTTGGAGAGAAAGGGTAAAATGTGGAACACAACTGGGATAGTTCGTGATGGCAAACTGTATTGCTCTATCGAAGAGACTTTGTAGGTTACGCGACTTCCCTGTCATTATTTTGGGTACTATCGTATTGACACTTTCTTTGCAGCTCTCTCTTCACGCATGTATTCATGAACCTCCCATCTTGGATAATTCAAAGATTCTGGGAAACTGAATTCTGGTAGCTTTCATTGAAATCCTTGATCACAGATTAGAAAATCATATTGAAGCTTGTGTTATTTATCATTAAGAGGGGATCAGTTGGCACCACCAGTTTGAATCCAGCTCCACCCTTCGTCAACATGAATATTATACGACGAATGGAACATTTCAAGGATATTTTATTAGTAAAGAAACAACTTTTACGTTCCCTCATGTTAGGAGTCTAATATCTTAGGTTGGTTTTCGTAGGTTTCTAGCTGAAATTGGAGCTTTGCATATCTTGCATGGCGAAGATACATACCTTTCCTTAAAAGATTTATACGAAAGAGTCGCAAAAGGTACAGATGGACATGGATGCTCTTGGGAGTCTTTGGAAGTTTATCGCCATTTGAAGGCTCTTGGTTACATCGTTGGCCGACATGGTATCCCTTGGACTTCTAGGAGTACTAAAACTAATTCCATTGCTGAAAATGGTGCGTCTGAACTTGATGGGACAAGTTGTAACAGGTCAAGTCACGGCAAGTTATTCTCATGTTAGATACTTAGCCGTTATTGTTAACTTTTATTAGACGAGTGAAACCCAATGACAACTATATTTTTAATTTTAATTGGATTTTAATCACTCTCAAACATTCTCTTAGATAAACATATTTAGACCTTGTTTGATCTTCATCAGCTTTTTCAAAATACATTTTTCTCTCTCTCATTTTTAGTTCTCTTCTTTTCAATCACGCATTTTTCAATAAAATAATATTACACACAATCCAAAAAAAATTATTCATTTTTAAACACATATTCTACGCCACTCTACTATTCCAAAATACATTCTACACAAATAATGGAGCTCAGATATGTCAAAAGTGAAAAAGTATCTTAAAATAAATTTAACTTTCGAGTTATCATGAAACTTTTTCAAACATGTTTCATTGTTATTACACTTCAAAAATTCTTCAAGTTGTCACTTTACTTACCAAATTATTATCTCATTTGTTAATGTCGCTCACAATTTTAAAAGTATACGATTAGATGAAATGATAAACGGGATAATATTTTGACACCAACGTGACAACGATTGTCACGTAGGTTTCCAGCAAAAAGACATGGCTAATCAATACGAGCTAGTCGCTTGTCTAGTTGTGACAGTTGTGACTGCGAAGGTCATGTGAATTTCTAGCAAAAAGACACATGGCTAATTCACATGGACCGGTTGCTTGTCCAGTATTTGTCACATTACCTCTAGACATGGATCAAACTTTGAAGTCAGACAACGTAAAAACTGAAAAAATTAGTAATGAACCACAAACTGTTTAGAGAAGACTTCTTAAAACTTGCTATTTGGCCGATAAACATGGAACATTGCTCTCACTTCACCTTGTCTGAAAGTACATCAAAAATTGCACTACTAAACTTTCTATCTTCTCATAACCACCAAAGTTGGCCATTACTGGCACAGTCGAGCATTTTGCACAGAGTTACATTCATATATATACAACCATCAACATGCAGCAGCAACCACGGCATCATGTGCGGATATGGGGGGGAGGTTGCACTGGGCTTCAGCCCAGTACAGCCTTGACACATATCCTATTTTGTTTTGTAACTTTTTAATTAAAGAAGTTATATTTTGGCCCAAATTTAAAATTAGCCCATTTCTATAATATTTGTTCACTTCAAGCCTAATTTCTTAAATCAACCAAATTTAGAATTACTCCACTTCCAAATCTCTTGCTCAAAATAAAAGAACTTCTTTCAAAATTTAGCATGGTAGGTAAAAGAAAATGAACAACCTTATTTTTGCTACAGTATTGCAAAGAAATAAAACACAAATGAGAAGATAGAATTATATTAATTGATGTTTTAACATCTTCACATCAGAAAGCATATCCATGTTAGTAGGCTTATCATGAGCAAGAAAATTATCTAATGAAACTAACCATACATATAAAATATGA